CCGAGGAGGAGCAGCTAGAGGGTAGGGATCAGCAGTCTGGAGGGTGTTAGAGGGGAAGGGGAGGTCCCCTAAACGGTGAGGGCTGGGGCGGGTCCCCGGGGCAGGTGGGGGTGGCGGGGTGGGGCGGGAGGCCTACCCTGCCAGTGGTCCAGATCCCACCAGGCCCTTGGCTGACTCCAGAGACCACTGCTGCCGGTCGAGTTGTCCTGGGCTCCATCCCGGGCCCAGCTGTGCCGGGCAGCCTCTGGACAGGGCTTTGGGGACCCCGCCGGGCGGAGTGGGAACGCCCAGCTCATCAGACCGGTTGCTTCCCTGGGAGATGGGTTTCGTGTGGAAAAATCCCGGGAGACAAGTTTGTGCGGCACAGAGCAGGCCTGGAGGCGGACACCTGGCACGGGCCGGGGCCCGCCTCCGCCAGGTCCTCCAGGGCCCACCTGGGCAGTGTGACAGGGCAGCCAGCCCAAGGGGCTTGTGAGAGGGTGTCGCGTGGACGGCCCAGGCCATGTGGGGACAGAGGGCCTTTGGTTTGCCGCAGCCCCGAGGGGTCTCCAGGTGCCTGGCAGCCCGTGGGTTCCTGCATCTCTGCGGCCCAGCGCCCAGGAAAGCCAAACCTGGGCTCTCTCCTCTGCCGCTGTGGCCTGAGGCCGGTGATGACTGTGGAGCCCGCCTCCCCGCCAGCCCCGGGCTGGGAGGAGCCCTGCCCAACTCCCGTGACCGGCCTTCAGTTCTGTGGTCCCCGAGTGTCCCCCTCCCTGGAGCAGTGCTGGGGAGGAAGCACAGGGAGGAGGCGTGGTGGTGGGCTTCCTGGAGGAGGTGGCAGTATGGAGGTGTCACCCAGGGAGCTTAGGAAGCAAAGAGGAGAGGGCTCCGTGTGAGCGGCAGGGCCTGGACCACCTGTGGTGGCCAGCAGGACCAGGAGCTGGGGGCCTCCAAGGGTGAGTAGTGCCAGGCGAGTCCCCCGGCGGCGGTTCCCGCCCAGAGAGGAGCTGGGGATGGGCAGGGCGGGGCTGGCGCATGGGACTTCCGCTGCGGGTGGAGGGGCTGCACCACGCCACTGAGGTGCGCCCAGCGGGAGGGCAGGGGCGCAGGGCAAGCCTCCAGGTCGGACCCCAGGTGGAGGGGGGCATGGTGGGTCTTACAGAGCAGGAGGTGGAGGTCGGGGAGAAGGGCGCGAGGAAGTGGAAAGCAAAGTCATCTTCCAAAACAAAATCCAGGAGTGTGCGGAAGCCAGTCTTCTGCCAGGCAGCCAGCAGGGCTGGGGTGGGGAGAGGTCCGCGTGACCTCCAAGTCCAGCCCAGGGGCAGTGTGGCCCCTGCTCCAACCCTGGGCTATGGGTGGGGCGGCTCCAACCCCTGGGCCCCCACCCCTGCCTGGTGCCCTCACTGCAGGTAGCTGAGGGTGGGGCGGGGCGGGGCCATCCGTCTGCGCACGCCCCAGTCCCCACGGCGGCCGTCTGTCCTGTCCACCGTCGCCTGTCCTTTCACAGACGTGTCCGGAGCTCTTCCAGGGCCGTCCCGGCTGTCTGGGGACGGGTCTCTGGGAGCCCCCTGGGGTCTGACGGGGCACCGATGTGACCAAACTCAGCCGCCCACAAGTAACGCTGCCACTCAGGGTGACCAGAGTAGAAGCCTCTGGCCACAGGGACGTGGTGGCTGCTCTCCAGAGGTCCCCAAAAGGCACTGAAGGACCCCAGAGGGAGCAGAGTGGCTGGAGCCAATGGCCAAATCCTGGCAGGGGAAACATGTTGGGAGTAGGTGGGCGGCTTTTCCCAGGATCGTCAGCCTCCATGGGGGAGCGGGTAGAGGGGCAGGGGGAGCAGTGGGACAGGGGCAGTGGCTGGTGTGCCCCATGGTGGCCGGCAGTGGCAGGGGTTGGAGAGCGGCAGCTGCTCCCCCACGCCAGTGGGCGCCGTCACTGCGGCAGGGAAGTGGCATGCCTGGCACACTGTGTTCCTACTGTCCTCTGTCCTCGCCGCAACCCTGGGAGGGCAGAGCTACGACTACCTCCGCCTCACAGGTGGGGAAACTGAGGCTCTACAAGGCTTCTAGGCTTCCAGAAGTGACCCTGAGTGGCAGCAGAACAGGAGTGGCCTGGGGGCAAGCTGGCGGGGTGGGGGGCCTTGGCAGAGTCCCTGGTGGTCCACTCAAGGGGTATGGGCCAGAGAGGAGGATTACGCTGCTTGTCTTCTCTCCGTGGTTTAGGGTCAGTCTTGTTTCACTAAACGAAACAGATTTGTGATTTGTCCCCTGTGCCTGAGTCCTCTCCTGTCCTCACAGTGCTCGGGAGCTGCTGCTTTCTCTCCACCCTTGGTCGCTCCCGAATGCTTGGCGCTCTGAGCTCGGTGGCGTCGGCGGAGTCGGGCTGTGTGGCCCTGGGCACCGCTTTCGTGCCCTTTGGCCTCGGCAGAGGTGTCCCCGACTTCCGGCTGGTGATCCCACCCGGCCCTCCCCGGGTAGGTGGGCGACTCACTCCCACCGTCTGATGCCCACGGGGTCTTTCTCCAGACACCCGGTAACTTTTTGGCATCAACATTTCAATCTTTAGACTCTGGCCTGTGTGTAGTTTGGAAACTTTTCTTCTGCTGTGTTTCTGGCCCATCCGCGTCCTTTGGCGTCTCGGGGTCACCTCCGCACTCGCGCCTTTCTGACCCCTCGTGCGCTCCCTCTGGCGTGTCTCCTGCGCTCCCCACTGGGCTTTCCACTCTGCCTATTCTTATTTTTTGAAATTGCTAAAGTGGCTTTAATTTTGTAAAGATTTTATTTTTCTCTTCCATTTCTTTCCCAGGTGCTGTCAGATGATTTGTATTTCCTTGTTTCTACCACTGGTTTTTAAAAAATTCCCTCAAACGTCCCACTGCCCCCACCCTCTCCACGCTGCTGGGGGGCAGCACTTCCGTCTGTTCTCCTCACCGCTGTTCCCGCAGTGCCCGACACACGTGGACGCTGCAGAAACAGGTGCACGCAGGTGAGCAAAGCACACGTGAGCCGGCGCCGATCACACGGAACTGCGTGTGGAACCTGCTCCTGCTTCCTTCTGTTCCTCATGCCTTCTCTGACGTGCACGCTTCTGCCTGTCATCTACGCGCCTCTTCTCGTTTCCGCGGTTTCTTGGGTGGGTATGTGTCGCTAAACCCAAGGCTGGCTCTTTTCTCGTCGTGAAGCACCTGCGAGTGGAAACAGTTCCGCCTGGACCAGACACTGAGGGCGGAGTGGGCAGTACCGCTGGGCAGGTGGCGAGTGGGTCGGGTCCCACCCTGGGGCGCCTGTTCCCTGTGGCCCAGCAGGACTTGTGGGGCCCATGTGACGCGGGTGAATGTCTACCCGTATCCGCAGCCACGGAACCGATGCCCCTTCCCCAACCCTGCCAGCGTTGCTCTCCTAGAACCTTCTTGGAGCCAAACTGGAGTGTCCACCCGGCCCCTCCTTCAGCTCCACCTTTCCTGCTGCGCTGCGTCCACGGCGAGGATGACCCGAGAATGCAGCCTAGGTGAGCCTCGGGGACGGCGCGGGCTGCCTTCCACCAGCGTGAGTGGTGGCACGTGACCCTGCATGCTGGTCCCAGAGCCTGTGGCCGTGGCCTCGCTTGGCAAAGGGGCTTTGCAGATGTGACTCAGTAAAGGATGCTGCGAAGGGGACGTCATCGGGGTCCTCTGGGCCCACAGTGGTCTTCGGGGTCCTTATAAGAGAGGGGCCGGAGGGGCAGAGTCGCAGGAGATGTGGAATCAGAGAGGAGAGCGAGGAAGACGCTGACTGCTGGCTTGGAGGGTGAAGGGGCCTGAGCCAGGGATCTCCCACACGGCCCCTAGAGTCTCCAGAAGGAATACCGTCCCACTGACACCTGGATTTTAGGACACTTGTCACAGCAGCCGTAGGAACCCACACAAGTCCAGAGCGCTGGCCTCCCTCCCAGGCTGCGAACAAGCTGAGACCCCAAGGGTGGAGCAGTCCTGGTCACCCCCAGCCCCGCACGGGACCGCACTGGATGGGGTGGGACGGACACCCAGCTTCTGTTTTCAGAGCAAAGAGGACGGACTGGGAGGTGGCCGCCTGCTCTCTGCTGGGTGTGGGAAGGCCCTGCCCGTCTGAGGCCAGAGACCAGACTGCACAGGCACAGGACGGAAGAAACCCCGTCCTCGGGGGCCCAGCGGTCTTGGGAGTGGAGGGTGGGGTGAGCGAGAGGGCGTGTCCAGAGGAGGTGGCGGCACCCAGGGCCACCCAGGGGTCCAGGACTCTGCCCTCCCAAGAGAACAAGGCACAGAGCACAAGTCAGAACTAAAAAAAATATTTCATTTCATTCTGAATAAAAAACGGAACAGACAGAACTCTCGGAAATCCTGAAAACAATGTCATCGCTACGGCAAAATTTCACAGAAATCATCGCGGAGTGTGGGGACCAAGGCCAGGCCCCCACCTGCTGTGAAGGCTGCCTCTCTGGGGAGGGGCGTGGAGCAGGGGGCCCCCGGAAGGCCAGAGAGGGGTGGGCACAGGTGGTGGCTGCGCCCCTAGGGTGAGCCCTGCCGGGGCCCTGGGTCGGGGCTCAGAGCAGCCCCAGGAATCTAGCCGGTCAGGAGGGGTCACCTGTCTTCAGGATCCAGCCTCACGGGCCCCCCCCCTGCTGCGTGTGCCCCACATGCCTCTCCTGGAGTGGAAGTAGTGATAGAAGTTACGCAGTCGGAGCCGCTCCACCTCCAGCCCTGCCTGCAGGACCCTGGGGGAGGGCAGGGGCACGTCAGGACCCTGGTTCAGGGCTCGGGGTGTGGGGGGGGGAGTGGTCAGGGCCACCAGAGGGCCTATAGGATGGGGCAAGATCGGGTCAAAGCTGTCTGCAGGACCCCAGGGCTAGGGAGGGGTCTCTGGGCCCAGAGGATTCTGGGGGATGGGGGGGCAGAGGTCCTCAGCATAAGGCTCCTGAGGGCTGTAACCCCCTCCCCGACCAGAGAGGGCGGTAGTGGTCCGAGGGCTGCAACCCCCTCCCCGACCAGAGAGGGCGGTAGTGGTCCGAGGGCTGCAACCCCCTCCCCGACCAGAGAGGGCGGTAGTGGCCTGAGACCAGAGAGGGCGGTAGTGGCCTGAGGGCTGTAACCCCTCCCCGACCAGAGGTGGGGGCGGTGGTCACCTGTCCAGCAGCTCCCAGTCCTCGCCCCCCCACCGGTCTCGGAACTCCTCAGTGTTCATTCCTCCAACCCGGTCAAAGTCTGACTTGTAAATCCCGAAGAGGCCAAAGCCGTTCACCTCCCAGTAGCCTGGGGCCAGGAAGGGGGTGCCTTTCAGCGCCAGGTCCTGCCAGGCTTCCTCCCCAAAGGGCCCACCACCACGGGGCTCTCCGTGTCACCTCTTGGTGCCCAGGAGCCCCTCAGACTGGGGGACTGGGGAGGCCCTGGGGGCTGGGGGAGGAGGCAGGGGTCCTGGGCACTACAGGGGGCTCTGCCTTCGTGGCCGGAGGGACCCCTGGCATTACTGCGGGGCGGGGACCCTCGGGGCATTACCGTGCGGGTCCGCCGGGGAGCTCCCGCAGCCCAGGCGCATGACCACGGGTGCGAAGGCCAGCCTGCCCTCCACGCAGTGCTTGCGGATGCCGTCCAAGATGCCGGGCGGGAAGTGGATGTGCAAGTCGCAGAGGAAAACGATGCTGCTGGCGTCCTGCAGGTCGGGCAGGTCTGAGCCCCGCCTTCTCCTCCCTGACACCCCCTTGCTCCCTGACACCCCCGTCGGCCCACGGACCTCCACCGAGTCCACTCCAGCTTGCAGCCCGGCGGAGCGCTCGAAGTTTCCAGTTCGCCTCAGGTACTGGTACCTGGGGGGGAGTCGCAGGCACTGAGCCTTGGGGTGCGGGTCAGGAAAACCCACCTCCCGGGGCAGGAAAGATGCTCTGGGTGCTCCCAGGCGGTGGGGGCGCGTTACCGGGGCAGCCGTGCCGCGCGCAGGGCCCGCTCCACATCCATGTCCTCGCTCTCGAAATCCACCAGGACCACGCTGAAGTGCGCGTCCCCGGTGCGCGCGTGCAGCGCGGCCATGTCCGCCAGGAACTGTGCCACCCAGCGCGCCTGGTTCTTCACTGGAGGAAGGGCGCGGACGTTGAGCCGACCCCAACTCGCCCTTGCGGGCCCGGCTCCGGAGAACCTCATCCCAGCCGCCCCATGCCCTCTCGCCGGCCTCAGGTCCCCATTCCCACGAGGTCTCTGGGGCGCCCCCCAGGTGGCCTCCCACCCCGCCTGCCCACCTGGCACGATGAAGTGCACCATCACGTCCTGGCGCCAGGCCAGGCGCAGTGGCCGGCAGAGCTCCGGGTGGCCGTCGGGGCGCGCGGAGGCGGCGGGCATGGGCTCGGGACTTTCTCCCTCCGCGTCCCCGACGCGGGCCCCAGGCAGTCGCAGGAAAACGTACTCGGACAGGCGCAGGCGGCCGCCCCCGCGCTCCTGCAGCTCCAGCTCCAGCAGGAAGCGGCTCCCCCGCGCGGAGTCCCGGCGCTTCTCCACGTTCACGATGCGCAGAAGCGCAAAGCGCCTGCGAGGCGGGGCGGTCAGGCCCAGACTAGGGCTTTGGGCTTCTAGCCTGCACCCTAACTCCGGTTCTCCCTGTAGGTCTCCCCACCAGCCCTGGAAACTCAGCACACTGGGGGTGGGCGGGACAGCTCCATGCCTCCCTCCCCGCCACGCGCAGCACACCTCCCCAGGCCCGGCAGGAAGTAGGGCAGACGGCACTGGGCAGCATCCCCAAGCCCAGGCGGGCCTCTGGCCCCCACTCACGTCCGAAGTAATGGTTATGACTCGCTGGCCTGTTGGGTTACTCCCCTGCCCAGAAACCTTCAGGTGTTCTGCAGCGCCCATGGGACAAGGTTCCAGTGCCCTAAAGGGCATCCCAGGATCTTGAGCAGATCCTCCCTTGTGGCCTTACGGCTGGCCCTCACGAGGGTGGCAGACTCCCTCTTCCCACTGTCCTGCGGTGGCCCCTGCCAGGGTGCTGAGGAGCCTCCTTTTGCCCCAGGCACCAGCGCAGGGCTCTCCTGATGGAGGAGACTGTGGACCGGCTGCCAGCCCCCGGCCCTTCTCTTCGTCCTGCCCGGCGCAGCGCCCCACTTTCCCTCCTTTCTGCCCCCAAGCAGAGGCCTCTCCTCATCTTTAAAGCACAGGACCCTGCCTTAGGCTAAGGTCTGGCCTTCGTTCTGCCTTACTCCCTCCCTGGGTAACCAGTGCCCTTCACCTGGGGGCCCCGGGGTGACCACTGAGGAGTCCAAATTCCCCCCGACTCCTGCTCATCCCCACCATGCTCGCACCAAGTGTTGGGGACTTTCTGCCCCAAATAGTTCCCTCTACACTCTTGCTCCTTGGGGCCACACACACCTTTGCACCCAGATGGGCAAAGGGGGGGGCACAGCCATGACCACCCTGGCTGGACAGGTGCCCTCGTGCCCAGGGGACGGTGAGCTGCTCGCTCTTGGGAAGCATAGACCAAGGGCAGGTGTGCCCCTGAGCTGCCCAGAATCCAGCAACCCCCAGCCCTGGGGTCCAATCCTGTCAGTCACCATCCCAGGCTTCCCCCAGGCAGTGGCACACATGAGTCAAACTCCTACCCTGCTCAAAACCTATCGTGCACGAGAAAAATGCGTCCTGAGCATGGCTCTGTCTCCGTCCTCCGCCCCCCCCACCCTGGCCTCCTTCCCCTGCAGCAGGCCTTTGCCCCAGGTCCCCACCGTCTCCATACAGATTCTACCACTTTTTCAAGACTGTGCCCAGCGGAAACCACCTTTTCTTAGAGGATGCCACAGGGCCTCCTGAGAGACCAAACTAGCCCCCTTGCTCCCCCACCTGCATGCGGTGGACACAGGACTGGATCCTGGGGGGGACCAGAGGGGCCAAGAACTCTGAACCTCCCCTGGAGTCGGGCCCAGAGGTCCTGGGCTTCACCCTGGGCTGTTTCTGGCCCCTCAGTAGGGCCATCTGCCCAGCAACTGACTGGGACTGATGCTGCCTTCTGAGGCTCCACCCTTGGGCCCAGGTCCAGGGTGGCAGAAGTGGGGCCTGCAGGGACAGGGACAGGGGAGCCAGCCCTGGGAGGCCCCCAAGGGTAGATGAGGCTCTGGGCAGTAGGAAGACTGGGGGAGGGTCCGGGGCTCCCCACCGGCACACTGTTGAGCCCCAGGGAAGGTCCGAGGCCAGTCTCCCCCGCAGCCGCGTGCCCCGTACCCTCCATGGCGAGCGTTGAGCCGCTCCATGTACTGGGCCACCACGTCCACGGCCTCAGCCTCAGGCAGCTGCAGGTTCCCAGACACGTTGCATCGCAGGTCGTTCCAGTCGGAGCGCAGCAGCTCGAAGTCCACGGCGCCCACGCTGAACGTGCGCTGCCAGTCAATGGCGTCTTCCCGCCAGCGGCCGAGGGGCCGGCCAGCAGCCTCCTCACTGTCCTCTGACGCAGCCTCGTCGCCGGGGGCCCCATCATCCTCCCCTTCCTCTTCCTCCTCGCCCTCCCCGGGCAGCTGTGGCCTGGACACCTGGGACAAGCTCAGGAAGGAGGTCACAGGCCGTGTTTCAGACGAGGAGTTCGAGTCCACTGTGGGCACCACGGGTCCCAGCGTGCCTGCCTGGCCCTCCCAGCCCTCCTGGGAGGCCTGTACCCGGGCTGGGGGTCGCAGCCGTGGGGCCTGGGGGCCGCCGGTCCTGCGGCCTTGGGGCCGGGGTGGGCGCGGGGGCGCCCGCAGCTGAACTCTGGGCAGAGGCCTGGGGCGCAGGAAGGTGCCAGGGAAGTGAGACCAGCGCCGGCTGCGCGGCGCAGGGGCCTGGGGGGATGCCCGCTGTCCTGGCCGCACCCTGGTCACATACACCTTTGGAGGTGGCTGCTGGGCTGCAGGCCGGCGGGGGGGCGGAGCTCGGCCCAAGAAGAGAGGCAAGGTGCGGGTGGCCCGGGCAGCCCAGCTCAGGGCCCGGGAGTGCCGCCGGTCCCGCTCGTCCTGGGGGCTGGGAGGTGCTGGCTGGGCAGGGGTGGCTCTGGCCTCAGTGGGGGCCACAGGAGCGGGGGACAGGCGGCCGCTCTGCGGTGGGGACGGCTCCGTCAGCTCCAGACTGTCGAGCAGCTCCCCCTCGTCCAGGAAGTCTGCAGAGAGCATGGGTTGAGACTGCCACGCCCAGCTAGGTGAGGGCTGGGGGCACTGGGGGAGCTCACCATCAGGGTTGAGGAAGAGGAAGGCTCTGCGCTGCACCTCCTCCTCGTCATCTTCCTCCCCCTCCTCCTCGTCCATCTTCATGTATTTATAGAACCCAAACCTGGGCAGGGGAGGGGCATCAGAGACCCACCAGCCAAGGCCCCAGCCCCGTCCGCTCCTGGACCACCCACTGCCTACCTTTCCAGGTACAGTGGAGACTCGCGGTAGAAGCACTTGTTGTCCGTCTCCATGTGAGTGAGGCGGGTGTGGTCGTTGGGGTAAACGAAGGAGAGGTACACCTGGGGGCGGGGCAGAGGGCGTGGGGCGGGCGGGCAGTCTTTCCAAGGGGCTGGAGGAGGTTCAGGGGAGGCTTAGACAGGAGTCCCAGGTCCCGGGTCTTACAAATTGCAGTCCCTGGTATCTGGCGATGGGGAAGTCCTTGACCACGTAGGTGGGGGCATAGGCGCAGGGCTCCAGCACGTCCTCCAGGCTCGAGGGCTCCATCCGAGGAGCTGCAGGAGGGGCGGTCACAGAGTGGCCAGAGCACAGGTCCTCCCCTCGCCCCCGACGGGCCCCCTCTCACTGAGGAAGAAGGTATCCCTGGGGTCTGGCCGCAGCATGTCTACGCTGGGCTCCTCCTGCGGCAGATGCCCGCCCACGTGGCTGGCTGGAGACTGGGGGACATGGGCCACGTGGTCCATCTTCAGGGTGGACTCGTCTGGGGGCAGAGAAATGCTGGGCTCCCAGGGCTGCTCAGAACCCCCCTCCACCCCACTCCCCCCACCCAGAGACTATCTCAGAGGTGCCCGCCTGCACCTGTGTACAGGGAGATGTGCGCAGAGCCAATGACCTCGAACTTCAGGCCGGGCAGGAAAGCGCGCCACTGGGGGGCAGAGAGGATGGGGGCTGGAGGCAGGACCACGGCTGAGGCCAGGGAGGAAGGGGTCTTCTCTGGTGGGGTTTGGGGACTCACGGGCACATTCCCTTAAAGGATGCAGGAAGCTCGGAGGGTCTGTGGAAGGGCCTTGGGTCCTGGGAAGGGCAGTGGGGAGGCTAGGGGAGGCAGTCCCGAAGGCTGAGGGCCCCGGGACAGGGCCGGACTCCACGCTCCCTGGCCTCTCTCACTTCCTAAAATCTTCCTGGCCCGTGGTCACGGCCTCCAACCCCACCCACTCTATCTTGAGGTCACCGCTGGCTCTCCGAGAGCCAGACCAAGCACCCCTTCCCAGGCCTGCCCGTGCCTCTCCCACCCTCCCGCGTTGGGGATCCTGGGGCTGCCGTGGGCCCTTCTGCCCCCAGCTCATCCTGGGCCCTCAGAGTCCCTTCACACCTGTGTCTCCAGCCTGGGCCCTCAGCCCAAGTGAGCAGGGGCGACACCCCCCACACCAGACACGTGCAACGTCCCACTGGCTGGGGCCAAAAGCCCCTGCCCAGCCACCCCACCCCGCCAGGCCCTAGGTCCAGGGAGTCCATCCCTCCGGCCATCTCCCTGGCTCAGGACCAAAGGCCACCGTCCCTCTCCACAGCGGCCATCGGGTTTTCCCTGCAACGCAGCTCCAATTGCCTCCTTCTCGGGACAAAGCCCTGCCTGGCCTGGCCACCACGCCCCTCTGCCCCCAGAGACACTGGTCCGTTTCCCTGCTGTGGTCCTGATCTGCACTCCCCACCCCAAACTCTCCCCTCCACACCCCCACCGGACATCTCTTCCACAGACGCCACGCGGGTCAGTGCTCAGTGAAGCTCTGAGACCTCAGCGGGCAGAGCAGAGCCCCCGGCCTCAGGCCCACGTCCCTGGGCATCTGCTCTGTTGGCTGGAGCGGAAGCTCCCGGGGAGCAGGGACCGGAGGAGGCGGCTGGAGCAGGGTCCCGGGAAGCTCCAGGGAGGGAGGCAGCACTCACACCCACTTCCACGTGGTCCGAGCCTCGGTCGTCCTGCTTGTGCAGCACCTCGAAGTAGTACCTCCGGGAGGCCATGAGCCTGGGGACACGAGGAGCGGGGGTTGTGTCCCCACCAGGCCCAGGAACCCCAGGTAGGTGGAGAGCCCAGAGAAGGGGGTGGGTGGCCCCCTCACCCTGCAGGGCTGGTCCCTCGGGAGGACAGTGGCGTTTGCACAGCGTGTGTACGAGTGTGCACGGGGTGAGGAGACATCACGCAGCCGCCCCCTCCCGCCCGTGTGTACAGACACACGCGTGCACGCACAAGCGAACGCAGGCACACGCACACCCACTCACCGCCTGGGCTTGGACACCTGGGAGCTGAACTTGGTGAATTCTCCAGGTGCCGTCCACTCAGAGCCGGTCTGGGGGGTGACAGAGCAAGGGTGGTCCACCCTCTCCTTGGGGGCACCAGACCCACCGGGTCCCCATTCCCAAGAGGCTGGAGGGGACAAGTGGCCGAGCTGCAGGAGGCCAGGTGAAGACCGATGGGGCAGGGGCGGGGGTACCTTGCCCACAAAGGCCACAAGCTGAGCGGCCACCGGGCTCTCGTCCGGGCTCAGCCAGAACTCAGAGTTGTCATCTGAAGCCACCGAGAACTGGACGTCGCCTGGTCCATGAGACAGGGCTCAGGGGGGTGGGGCTCTTCAGCACACCCCTCCCCCAGAGCAGCCCCACCTCCGCACCATCTCTCGCTGGGTGGATGAAGCCGAAAATCCGGAGCCCATAGTTCTTCCACTTGGGGGACACGGCCAACTTCTTCACGGTGGTGCGAATCTGGCGGGACGAGGACGACAGCGTTAAACCCGACCGCAGGCTCCTGCCCGCCCTGCACCCCCCTCCCGGCACTCACGTGAGGGAACAGCGGGAAGTGCAGATTCCTTCTCAGGTGGCCCACGGCGCCCCCACACCAGTCCTCGAACACGTGCAGGTTCACCTGCCCCTTGTACTGCGGGGTGGGCAGGACTTACCTTCTGCACGGCCCAGCCCTGCCTCTGCCCCACCTCCCGGTTCTCCACAGGCCCAGCAAGCTCACCTCCTCCCGCCATGGGGGTGTCTGACGGGTGAGGTTCAGGGGGGGCGGCCTCCCAGCTGCCGCCAGAAACAGCATGTTTGGGTCCTGGCCTTCGGGCTGCAGGAGAGAAAGGGCCGCAGGGTTGGGGCTCGAGGGGCAGGGAGGGGTCACCCCGCCACACACACCCCAGGATGCAGCTGTGCAAAGACCCCTCCCAACACCCAGCACGTCCCCCCAGCACACGGCGCACCTGCCCAGGCAGACACGCGGCCACCCCACACGGCGACACACCAGCACGTCCATGCACCCCAGACCCGGAGCTCCAGGCCAGCACATCGCCCGCACTTGGTGCTGGGGCCACGGACAAGCCGCGCCGCGTGCCGCTTCCACACACGCTTCCACACACCCACGGACAGGTTCCCAAGGCCACAGGTGGCCGCGGGGTCTCGTGTGCTCGTGCACACACGTGCTCTTCCTGCACGCGGCTCACCGCCTGCTCCTCCTCCAGACTCTCGCTGGAGTCTTCAGCCCTCTGTGTGGACGGTGCGGCCCGGACACCCTGGCCGTCAGTCACACTGGTCAGCTTCTCGCCGTCTGCAGGTGGCACGTGAGGCATGTCTGGGCGCAGGCTCTCTCCAAGGCTGTGGCACCTGCTGCTGGGGTCAGTCGGCAGCAGAAATCCCCATCCCACGTGGCCGGAACAGGGCGGCAAGGCCGTGGTGTCTACTCCCTCATGCCCACCCTTCTACACCCCACCTCTGGTGGGGCAGCCCGGCTGAGCCCTGCCAGGGCCCAACCCCCAGCTGGTGTGAGGGAGCAGAGCTGTGTGCACACATGCTGGTGTGTATAGTGTGCACGTGAACCCCCCTCCAGCCTCCCTGTCGAGTGGCTCTGCCTCCAGGAAGCCCCCAGGACTGCTCCTGCCCTCAGCACTTTCTCAGGCACTGAATGCAGTCGGGAAAGCCAGCACTGTTGCCCGCAGGCTGAGCCAGCTCTGGCCCATGGCACCTGTGCCGCCTGCTGTCTCTGAAGCCAGGGACAAAGAACCCGGGCACCACCTTGGGCAGAGGGGAG